GGTTCTTATGCCTCTTTTCTAAGAGCTTGCCCTCAGAGGTTAGACCAATGTCGATTGCCTATCATTCTATCTTTGCTTCAATTGCTTTTGTATATAATCACAGTGAATTTGTTTCATTAATGAGAATTTTGCCTTCTGGATGCTTCAATTTTCAGACAACTTTACGCGTGTGGGATGTTCTTTTCTATGAGGGGGCAAAGGTTCTATTTCATGTGGCTTTGGCTATATTTAAGGTGCCATTTCTTTTGCCCTTTGACTCTTTACATTTCTTCATGTTTATAAGTTGCTTGATATCAGGTAATAACATATGAGAGATTTTTGCAGATGAAGGAAGAGGAGTTGCTTCTAACCCATCATGTTGGTGATGTAATAAACATTTTACAGAAAACCACTCATCACCTTTTTGATCCTGACGAATTATTGACGGTAAGTCAATTTTCGTTCTTTCTTCTTTTGATTTTTGTTTGGGTGGCACGAAACAATGAGTAAATATTATACCTTGTGGAAATCAGCATTCAGAGACCGTAAAGAGCTTGTTTCTAAATTCTGAGAATAATCCTTTTCTCAGCATACCATAAATGTAAATGAAGCTTTGGTAATCTCTAACTACGCAGGTTGCATTTGATAAGGTTGGGTCAATGACAACCAATGCTATATCAAAGCATAGGAAAAAGCAGGAACCCGCCGTAATGGCAGAACTTGATCAAAGATTGAGACGACTGAACTCGCTGAGAGTGGATGACAAATAACATTTGTCTTGAAAGTTCGATGAAAACTGAGACCATCCAAGAAGGGGCTTGTTACCCCTCTGGAGAAGGAGAACAATCTTAAAAGTAATGTATTGTTTTTGTTTCTTTTTCGGATGTGCAAACAGGGAAGACCCCATGTGAAGAGCTCTTGTGTTGTTCCGGGTGGTGTAGGTGGTAAATGTAAATTATGAATTGATACATGATCTATACAGTCGAAATACGTTTCAACTCGGGGCATTCCTGGATTTTTCGTGCCCACAAAGTTCGAGTTTCTAGATTCTGAAATGCTCTATAGTCCATAATTATACGATTGTTTGGTTATCCCATATAACAGAAGCTTCGTTGGTGGTCTTTCACCACCATAACCAATTTGGACATTTTAACACATGCCTGAAGTTGCTTAACGTCTCAGCATCTGGAGCCGAGGGGCATATCAAACGACGCATAAAAATGATTAAAAAAGAAAAAAGAAAAAATGAAGAAGAATTAAAGTATTGTGCAACGTACGAGTTAACCACATGGCTAAAGGAGCAATTCCTGAAGTTTTTATCAAAGCAATTTTGTAAGTGTGGCATCCTGGGTCTAGACTCTAGATATTGTGGTTGTGTCTTTGTTCAAAACTGGTAGGTAGTTGGATATCTAATAGATGGAGGTGCAATAATTTCATTGGTGTGTCACATTGGTATAATGGCTGGCTTCTACTCAGTTGTGAAGTTGTGATATCTGTTCCTAAACATCTTTTAGGAATTAATAAGAAGTACCTTCAGGTTTGTGAAAGTTTAAATGGCCCACATATTTTAGAAAGTGACACTGGCCTCCCATAAATCTTTTAGAAATAAATAAGGGTTAAAAACTCGACGCCCATAAAAAAATCCGTTAGAAGTTTAAAGACAAGTGTCCTCATTTGCAGGAAATCAGCCTACCTATAAAACCCAAAATCTCCCTCCATCTCTCCCTCTCTGTCTTCTCTCAAATCCACTCAGCAAAAACCCTAAACCAGAAATGCTCACTCTCTTAGACCCCAATTCACCAACCTCAATCAATCACCAATTTAACCTCCATCATGACCATGATCATGACCATCTCGACAATTACTAGTCATCCCTGCAACTCTAATTTATTTCCAGAATGCCACCGACCGCCCGTCCCTCCTCCTGGACCACCATCGACGCTGAACTTGACGAGATTGACCTCGACGCCTCCGACTTCTCCTCATCTGTCCCGATAAAGAAGGTACCCAACGGCGACGTATTCGAGGCCTCTCGTGCCGGTGACTTTGACCGCCTCAGGTACCTCCTGGAGTCCGGAGTTAACGTCAACGCACGTGATCAGTGGGACTCAGTTGCGCTCTACTATGCTTGCCTTGCGGGACACCTCGAGGCCGCGCGTATGTTGTTGGAGAGCGGCGCGATTTGTTCGGAGCATACGTTTGATGGCGACAGGTGTCACTACGCGGCGCTCAATCTCAAGGTGAGAAAGCTTCTGAAGGCGTTTGAAGCGAGGCCGCCACCATTGGGACCATTGCAGGCGTCGCTGAGAGACACGTTCTTAGGGTGTGGAGCTAACAGGCAATTCTTGGAGCAGGCTGAGGGTATTCTTGGGATTTCAGGTACATTTTGTGTTGCTAATACTGTATGGTATGAAGTTTAGAAATTGCATAAGCAATTTGAAGTTTCGTTAGTGAAAATTGAGATGCCTTTGGTGATAATGGCTGACACGTGAGAGTTTGAATAGGTGTTTCATCCAATGTGGCAGTGAGTTTCAATTCTTTCCCTCCTGATGTGGTATTTTATGTTCAAGGTAGACCTATTGAAGCTCACAGAGTCATTTTAAGTGCTCGGTCTTTGTTCTTTAGGAGAAAGTTTGAAACTGATTGGAAACCACCCCGTAATGAAGTCAGATTTTCGAAGGAGAAGTTGTCATATCCAGCTCTTTACAGTCTCATACACTTTTTTTATTCTGATAGACTGGAGATTGCGGTAGATTACATGGAAAATCTTGTGAGAATTTGCAAGGTGTGCAAGTGTGAGTCACTGCAAAGGATTCTTGAGAAAGAATTGATTCATCAAAAATATGCAGAGTATAAGGCATTGAGAGACGTTGACAACTCTCAAAAACGATTCATTTTACAAGGCTCATCGTTACCTGAAGAGGATCGGCTTCCTGCTGCATTGTATCGGCTCCTTCAAATTTCCTTATCAAGATCCACTATGGATAGCAATATTGATGATAGTGTTAATAAATTAGCATCTTGTGTTAAGTCGATGCACATGAGTGATTCCTTAGATGATCTAGCTGATGTATGTGTAAGAGTTGGTAAGAAAATTTTCCGTTGCCATCAAGTGATTTTAGCATCAAGGTCAGAATACTTTAAAGCAAGGTTGTCCCGTGTGAAGGATTTTAATGAAGGGAAGGATGGATTACCCAGTGATACCCTTCCTTGTATTGAAGAACATGATTTGAGCATGGACACATTTGAGAAAATGGTTGAGTATATGTAAGTGTTTTCAGTTTATTATCTTGAAAGATTACATGTTATTTAAGTTAGTTTGGAGAAACATTTATGCATTTCTAGATTTGACTTGCAACATTTATCTTTGTATGAGTAGTAAGTGAGCAGCGTGGAGTAGGAAAATGTATAATTGAAGTAACCAGAGTTATGTTTCCTTATTAGCATTTTACATATACCGCATATAGCATAATCAACAATTCTAGTATTGGGACCATTTTATCTTTTTTTATGTTTTATTATTCAGCTACTTAATTTAATTGTCACCGTACTTATTTTTGAATCGCTGGTTAATTCAGGTACACTGATGGGTTGAAGGAGATAGACCCAGATCAGGTATCATGTGTGTCAATAAACATGGCTTTTGACATTAAAGCTTTATCTTTTTTCTAACTTCCATTGTTTTGTTTGAGCAGGCTGAAGAAATGTTTGATGCTGCTTCTAGATATTTATTATTTCCTCTTAAGCGTGCTGTTGCTGATGTGCTGTTGCAGCACCTGGAAATGGTCTCACCAGCAGAATTGTGCCATTGGCTGATATTGTCAGATATGTACGATGCTATTGCTTTTTTCTCCTCTTTATGGTCTTGATTGTTTTTCTTAGTCTTCAATAGCATTTTTGCAAATATACTCACCTGCTAGGAGAAACTTTTTAATTAATCATTGGTAGTAAACTGCATAATTTGGGGCCTAGCTCTACACCCTTCCGAAATCCTTATTCCACATTTAAAAACAGATTTGCAATATGCTGTTAACTCTTGAATTAGGCACTTCGCTTTACTCTTGGAGCTCTGATCACTTAAAAAAAATCCTGAATACGATCATAAACTTGGTAATATGAGACAGAACTGATATACCATTACAAAACTACCTTTCTGTGGCAAAAAATAACATAGAATTGTTGAATCAATAGATATCTTCGTAGTTGTTGACTTGGTTGTAACTATACAGTTGACTGTTCAAATTACATTTGTAGGTATGGTGTTTTCAAGATACGGGAATACTGTTTGGAGATAATAGCTTCTAACTTTGAGACATTTGCTGATACTCGTGAGTTCCGGGCAATGCTTTTGACACTACCTCCACCATCTGGAGATTCTTCACTTCGCACGACTGTTCCAAGTGCTCCAGGAGCTATGGTGAATGTAGATCAAGGTAATCTTCTCGATGATTTGCGGGAAAAATGGCTTGAAGCTGAGGGTGCTGAGCTTGACGAGAGAGATGAGAGTGCATTAATTTTTGACAAGCGCCTTGAGATGCTTATGCAAGTGGCAGAACAAGAAAAATCTGATATGAGCACCAGCAACAATGAAGACTGCGTCACATGATCACAGAGTTTAACCAAAAAGAAAAAATGTTAGTTATAGACATTCTTTTTCCACATATATAAATAAATACATCGTTTTGTAGCATGTCAAATTTGTAAGTGCAGACAGATGTTTAAATGTGTAAGCCTCCAAACGCTTTAGTTGGGTTTTCGTAACATGTGTTGCTGTTGCTGAATCAATGTCAGAGTATTCGTTCTGAGAAAAGATTTCGTTGTTTATGTATAGTTTGAGTCACTCTGGATTATAACACCTAAATATCATAATAATTCAGATTTAAATATCTGATACTGAATCCGAAAGTGTAAATTCAAAGGAATCTTGTGGATTTTAACGTCAATTAAGAGCTATACAGTTATACATCTCTTTGTTGGAAGTAATGGTGCATAATAATCGCATATCACCATTATTTGTCACCTTTGATAATTGACAATGACACGGATGAACCCGGTAGTATTCCTAACCAGAAGAAAGAAACTCCACCTTTACAAGAACAAAAGGTTTTGTATATGTCGAATAATCTGTTTCTAAGGATGGAAGTAAAAAACTCTCTCCATCCCGACCTCCCCAGATCACATTATTCAGCATAATCAATGATTTTTTTTGTCAAATCAATAAACCTATCAGCAAAAAATCTAATTACAAAAAGGAAAATTTACAGGACTTTTCTGTAGTTTACAAGCACTTAAGAATGAGCTCTGCTTGCATAAAGAGCGGCTGAATATCTGCTATCTGTAGTTAAATCTCCTGTCATTTCTTTTCTATTGAAAATAAGACTGAAGATTTAAGAAAAAGAAAAAAGAATTAAAAGAACTTTTTCTTTGGTTCATTCTTTATCAAGATTCGTTTTCTTCGTTTCCTTCACCAGACAGGACTGTCTCACTCTCGCCATCAGGAATGCCACTATCTTCAGCAGGGGGTGATTCTGGCTCCCCTTGTTGCAGGCTCCAGTACATGATGCTGGCAGTCAAAATGAGGATCATCTTCTGGTTTACCTGTCAAAATGTCACACATCATGTGGGTTTGAAGTTAAAAACAAGTATTGCATAAACCATTCAAAATTCTAAGTTGAATTGGTTATCTCCAGTCCAGGAACATCCGGTGACAGCCTTTTGTCATCCTCAATAGGAAGTGATATAATCGGATATAGAACTGGAGGGTAGAGAGGCAATTGAGAGAACTAGTTAATATCATTGTTTTAATTTTGGATAATCAACCCAGTGGAGGGCAAACCAACAACCAATCAATTCATATTGCCCATCAACTAGTGTTCTCATATTATAATAAACCGTCAAATAGTATGATAAATTCTTGGATTTAGAGTATGGAATAGGCAGGGTAAAAATCTCCATCAAGTTTTAAATGTAAAGTTCCATGATTTCAATAGATCCCAAAAACTGATAAATTCTTTATGTAAATTAGTTTGCAGTGCAGTGACAGTAACCAAACATATTAACAGCCATACCTCTATAATGTCCTCCGGTAACAAGAAAATAGAGCACCCAAGCTTCCGAGCAACACTGATTATATAGGTTGCATTTAACTTCTTATCCTCCTCTGCAATGTTAATAACATCAAACGTGAGGCTTTCTCAATGGTGTCTAAACAGACAATATTCATGCATATCCGTTCTAGTCAAATGCTTGTTGGGAAGCCAAAAGTGGTGCAAGCCTGGCAGATCTCCCATTTTCATGCCAAATTCAACAACGCACTGATTTAAAAAAGATACAAGAAATAATGAAATAATGGCATACCATTTTCTCCTTTTGTAACAAGACTCCAGTTAACCACCCTTGGCTCCACCGCGCTAAGCAGCTCAAGGAAGAAAACCCCGGTTGAAAGTTTCTTATCCTACAAGCAAACATTACATCAAACACCAAACAATGAATCATGGCATACAATCCAATCACAGAATAAAGTAATTGTTTGTATATTTACCTTGAAGCTCTCCATTTGAGAGGTTCTATCTGCCTTCTTCACTTTATTGTTTGCCCAGTTTAGAATGTCAGCATCGGTAATCTCTTTTCCCTCGGAGTGAGATCTCAAGTTTTTCAGGAGTTGGAGCATAGTAAACCTCATCAGTTGCCATAAAAATGCTGAGAAAAAAAAAAAAAAAGAAAAGAAAAAGAAAAAGGCAGAGTTAAAAGTTCGTTCAAATGCTACACTGAAGTCTCAAGTCGAACGACAAATAAATATGTACGTACTACATACTTACAACATGGACCTTTACTTATTCCCCAACGGAAATAAAGATGGAAAAACTTGCCTAGTATTAACTTTTTATTTCCTTGCACGAATCTTATTCCACATTTAAAAACGATTTGCAATATGCTGTTAACTCTTGAATTAGGCACTTCGCTTTACTCTTGGAGCTCTGATCACTTAAAAAAATCCTGAATACGATCATAAACTTGGTATATGAGACAGAACTGATATACCATTACAAAACTACCTTTCTGTGGCAAAAATAACATAGAATTGTTGAATCAATAGATATCTTCGTAGTTGTTGACTTGGTTGTAACTAACAGTTGACTGTTCAAATTACATTTGTAGGTATGGTGTTTTCAAGATACGGAATACTGTTTGGAGATAATAGCTTCTAACTTTGAGACTTTGCTGATACTCGTGAGTTCCGGGCAATGCTTTTGACACTACCTCCACCATCTGGAGATTTCTCACTTCGCACTACTGTTCCAAGTGCTCCAGGACTGAAATTGTGATATCTGTTCCTAAATATCTTTTAGGAATAAGAAGTACCTTCAGGTTTGTGAAAGTTTAAATGGCCCACATATTTTAGAAAGTGACACTGGCCTCCCATAAATCTTTTAGAAATAAATAAGGGTTAAAAACTCGACGCCCATAAAAAAATCCGTTAGAAGTTTAAAGACAAGTGTCCTCATTTGCAGGAAATCAGCCTACCTATAAAACACAAAATCTCCCTCCATCTCTCCCTCTCTGTCTTCTCTCAAATCCACTCAGCAAAAACCCTAAACCAGAAATGCTCACTCTCTTAAACCCCAATTCATCAACCTCAATCAATCACCAATTTAACCTCCATCATGACCATGACCATCTCGACAATTACTAGTCATCCCTGCAACTCTAATTTATTTCCAGAATGCCACCGACCGCCCGTCCCTCCTCCTGGACCACCATCGACGCTGAACTTGACGAGATTGACCTCGACGCCTCCGACTTCTCCTCATCTGTCCCGATAAAGAAGGTACCCAACGGCGACGTATTCGAGGCCTCTCGTGCCGGTGACTTTGACCGCCTCAGGTACCTCCTGGAGTCCGGAGTTAACGTCAACGCACGTGATCAGTGGGACTCTGTTGCGCTCTACTATGCTTGCCTTGCGGGACACCTCGAGGCCGCGCGTATGTTGTTGGAGAGCGGCGCGATTTGTTCGGAGCATACGTTTGATGGCGACAGGTGTCACTACGCGGCGCTCAATCTCAAGGTGAGAAAGCTTCTGAAGGCGTTTGAAGCGAGGCCGCCACCATTGGGACCATTGCAGGCGTCGCTGAGAGACACGTTCTTAGGGTGTGGAGCTAACAGGCAATTCTTGGAGCAGGCTGAGGGTATTCTTGGGATTTCAGGTACATTTTGTGTTGCTAATACTGTATGGTATGAAGTTTAGAAATTGCATAAGCAATTTGAAGTTTCCTTAGTGAAAATTGAGATACCTTTGGTGATAATGGCTGACACGTGAGAGTTTGAATAGGTGTTTCATCCAATGTGGCAGTGAGTTTCAATTCATTCCCTCCTGATGTGGTATTTTATGTTCAAGGTAGACCTATTGAAGCTCACAGAGTCATTTTAAGTGCTCGGTCTTTGTTCTTTAGGAGAAAGTTTGAAACTGATTGGAAACCACCCCGTAATGAAGTCAGATTTTCGAAGGAGAAGTTGTCATATCCAGCTCTTTACAGTCTCATACACTTTTTTTATTCTGATAGACTGGAGATTGCGGTAGATTACATGGAAAATCTTGTGAGAATTTGCAAGGTGTGCAAGTGTGAGTCACTGCAAAGGATTCTTGAGAAAGAATTGATTCATCAAAAATATGCAGAGTATAAGGCATTGAGAGACGTTGACAACTCTCAAAAACGATTCATTTTACAAGGCTCATCGTTACCTGAAGAGGATCGGCTTCCTGCTGCATTGTATCGGCTCCTTCAAATTTCCTTATCAAGATCCACTATGGATAGCAATATTGATGATAGTGTTAATAAATTAGCATCTTGTGTTAAGTCGATGCACATGAGTGATTCCTTAGATGATCTAGCTGATGTATGTGTAAGAGTTGGTAAGAAAATTTTCCGTTGCCATCAAGTGATTTTAGCATCAAGGTCAGAATACTTTAAAGCAAGGTTGTCCCGTGTGAAGGATTTTAATGAAGGGAAGGATGGATTACCCAGTGATACCCTTCCTTGTATTGAAGAACATGATTTGAGCGTGGAAACATTTGAGAAAATGGTTGAGTATATGTAAGTGTTTTCAGTTTATTATCTTGAAAGATTAAATGTTATTTAAGTTAGTTGGGAGAAACATTTATGCATTTCTAGATTTGACTTGCAACATTTATCTTTGTATGAGTAGTAAGTGAGCAGCGTGGAGTAGGAAAATGTATAATTGAAGTAACCAGAGTTATGTTTCCTTATTAGCATTTTACATATACCGCATATAGCATAATCAACAATTCTACTATTGGGACCATTTTATCTTTTTTTATGTTTTATTATTCAGCTACTTAATTTAATTGTCACAGTACTTATTTTTGAATTGCTGGTTAATTCAGGTACACTGATGGTTTGAAGGAGATAGACCCAGATCAGGTATCATGTGTGTCAATCAACATGGCTTTTGACATTAAAGCTTTATCTTTTTTCTAACTTCCATTGTTTGGTTTGAGCAGGCTGAAGAAATGTTTGATGCTGCTTCTAGATATTTATTATTTCCTCTTAAGCGTGCTGTTGCTGATGTGCTGTTGCAGCACCTGGAAATGGTCTCACCAGCAGAATTGTGCCATTGGCTGATATTGTCAGATATGTACGATGCTATTGCTTTTTTCTCCTCTTTATGGTCTTGATTGTTTTTCTTAGTCTTCAATAGCATTTTTGCAAATATACTCACCTGCTAGGAGAAACTTTTTAATTAATCATTGGTAGTAAACTGCATAATTTGGGGCCTAGCTCTACACCCTTCCGAAATCCTTATTCCACATTTAAAAACAGATTTGCAATATGCTGTTAACTCTTGAATTAGGCACTTCGCTTTACTCTTGGAGCTCTGATCACTTAAAAAAAATCCTGAATACGATCATAAACTTGGTAATATGAGACAGAACTGATATACCATTACAAAACTACCTTTCTGTGGCAAAAAATAACATAGAATTGTTGAATCAATAGATATCTTCGTAGTTGTTGACTTGGTTGTAACTATACAGTTGACTGTTCAAATTACATTTGTAGGTATGGTGTTTTCAAGATACGGGAATACTGTTTGGAGATAATAGCTTCTAACTTTGAGACATTTGCTGATACTCGTGAGTTCCGGGCAATGCTTTTGACACTACCTCCACCATCTGGAGATTCTTCACTTCGCACGACTGTTCCAAGTGCTCCAGGAGCTATGGTGAATGTAGATCAAGGTAATCTTCTCGATGATTTGCGGGAAAAATGGCTTGAAGCTGAGGGTGCTGAGCTTGACGAGAGAGATGAGAGTGCATTAATTTTTGACAAGCGCCTTGAGATGCTTATGCAAGTGGCAGAACAAGAAAAATCTGATATGAGCACCAGCAACAATGAAGACTGCGTCACATGATCACAGAGTTTAACCAAAAAGAAAAAATGTTAGTTATAGACATTCTTTTTCCACATATATAAATAAATACATCGTTTTGTAGCATGTCAAATTTGTAAGTGCAGACAGATGTTTAAATGTGTAAGCCTCCAAACGCTTTAGTTGGGTTTTCGTAACATGTGTTGCTGTTGCTGAATCAATGTCAGAGTATTCGTTCTGAGAAAAGATTTCGTTGTTTATGTATAGTTTGAGTCACTCTGGATTATAACACCTAAATATCATAATAATTCAGATTTAAATATCTGATACTGAATCCGAAAGTGTAAATTCAAAGGAATCTTGTGGATTTTAACGTCAATTAAGAGCTATACAGTTATACATCTCTTTGTTGGAAGTAATGGTGCATAATAATCGCATATCACCATTATTTGTCACCTTTGATAATTGACAATGACACGGATGAACCCGGTAGTATTCCTAACCAGAAGAAAGAAACTCCACCTTTACAAGAACAAAAGGTTTTGTATATGTCGAATAATCTGTTTCTAAGGATGGAAGTAAAAAACTCTCTCCATCCCGACCTCCCCAGATCACATTATTCAGCATAATCAATGATTTTTTTTGTCAAATCAATAAACCTATCAGCAAAAAATCTAATTACAAAAAGGAAAATTTACAGGACTTTTCTGTAGTTTACAAGCACTTAAGAATGAGCTCTGCTTGCATAAAGAGCGGCTGAATATCTGCTATCTGTAGTTAAATCTCCTGTCATTTCTTTTCTATTGAAAATAAGACTGAAGATTTAAGAAAAAGAAAAAAGAATTAAAAGAACTTTTTCTTTGGTTCATTCTTTATCAAGATTCGTTTTCTTCGTTTCCTTCACCAGACAGGACTGTCTCACTCTCGCCATCAGGAATGCCACTATCTTCAGCAGGGGGTGATTCTGGCTCCCCTTGTTGCAGGCTCCAGTACATGATGCTGGCAGTCAAAATGAGGATCATCTTCTGGTTTACCTGTCAAAATGTCACACATCATGTGGGTTTGAAGTTAAAAACAAGTATTGCATAAACCATTCAAAATTCTAAGTTGAATTGGTTATCTCCAGTCCAGGAACATCCGGTGACAGCCTTTTGTCATCCTCAATAGGAAGTGATATAATCGGATATAGAACTGGAGGGTAGAGAGGCAATTGAGAGAACTAGTTAATATCATTGTTTTAATTTTGGATAATCAACCCAGTGGAGGGCAAACCAACAACCAATCAATTCATATTGCCCATCAACTAGTGTTCTCATATTATAATAAACCGTCAAATAGTATGATAAATTCTTGGATTTAGAGTATGGAATAGGCAGGGTAAAAATCTCCATCAAGTTTTAAATGTAAAGTTCCATGATTTCAATAGATCCCAAAAACTGATAAATTCTTTATGTAAATTAGTTTGCAGTGCAGTGACAGTAACCAAACATATTAACAGCCATACCTCTATAATGTCCTCCGGTAACAAGAAAATAGAGCACCCAAGCTTCCGAGCAACACTGATTATATAGGTTGCATTTAACTTCTTATCCTCCTCTGCAATGTTAATAACATCAAACGTGAGGCTTTCTCAATGGTGTCTAAACAGACAATATTCATGCATATCCGTTCTAGTCAAATGCTTGTTGGGAAGCCAAAAGTGGTGCAAGCCTGGCAGATCTCCCATTTTCATGCCAAATTCAACAACGCACTGATTTAAAAAAGATACAAGAAATAATGAAATAATGGCATACCATTTTCTCCTTTTGTAACAAGACTCCAGTTAACCACCCTTGGCTCCACCGCGCTAAGCAGCTCAAGGAAGAAAACCCCGGTTGAAAGTTTCTTATCCTACAAGCAAACATTACATCAAACACCAAACAATGAATCATGGCATACAATCCAATCACAGAATAAAGTAATTGTTTGTATATTTACCTTGAAGCTCTCCATTTGAGAGGTTCTATCTGCCTTCTTCACTTTATTGTTTGCCCAGTTTAGAATGTCAGCATCGGTAATCTCTTTTCCCTCGGAGTGAGATCTCAAGTTTTTCAGGAGTTGGAGCATAGTAAACCTCATCAGTTGCCATAAAAATGCTGAGAAAAAAAAAAAAAAAGAAAAGAAAAAGAAAAAGGCAGAGTTAAAAGTTCGTTCAAATGCTACACTGAAGTCTCAAGTCGAACGACAAATAAATATGTACGTACTACATACTTACAACATGGACCTTTACTTATTCCCCAACGGAAATAAAGATGGAAAAACTTGCCTAGTATTAACTTTTTATTTCCTTGAACGATATCATTCCCAGCTACATTCACAAGAGAGAACTTTAGCTGCTTCCCTATTTTCACAACTTGGTTGCAATTCTCAACTTTTCTAAATGGCATCTTCATGGGAGGCTTAGAAGCCTGCTTCCAGTTAACTGATTCGGGTGAAACTTTGTCAAGAACTTCTAAGAGAACCCATCTGCATGCACAAGCGGTAGACATCAACCAAAATTCACTGGGTTTAATACTGTTATAGGAAATAGATGAAATCCTCACCCATTTCTGACATCCTCAAATACATTGTTGACATATGTAGGAATACCAAGACTGTTAATCCACAGTCGGAAACATCTCTCTTCGCGAGAAGTTTGTGCATCATCTGTCATCATCTCAGCAAAGGAAATCTTTTTGCTGTCAAAAGACAATCCATTCCTGCAAGAGAAAAGTCCATGCTAGTAACAAAGATTGCAGAAACCACAGTTGAAAAATAAGTCAGAGTTTGCACATGCACACATGAAAACAGAAATTACTGTGTCCTATATGATACATCTTCAGAAAGCTGGATGATCATGATAACTATAAATTTGTTATTAAAGCAGGGATATGATTTTTCCCCAAAAGACAGAAAGCAGTTCTCAGAAAATCCAGCATAAATATCTCTTTTTATGTGAAGGTACAGAAAATCACTCCTCAGAACACAGAGGTAGAGCAAAAAGTCTAGGAACTCTGCAAGCTTAAAATGCATGAAAACAATATGGATCACAGCTTACCTATGCTGGAATATTTGTGCAACAAATGCAAGGTTAAGATTGGGTGAACCCTCAACGATATCCTTTGGAGTGAGATATCTTTTGCAATCCAATTTCTCTGCCTGTTCAAGAACTTTGGTTGCCCTTACAGTAGGATCTTTTGTATCAAAGGTGTCAGGGCTACTGTGTTCTGGAGCAAGAGCAGTCAACAAGTGAGCATAAGCTTCTCCATCCTGCAAATTTATTAGTAGCAGAAAGGGCGAAAATTAATTCAAACACAGTGCTTCATGAAACTTTCATCCTCAAAAGTTGAAACTACTAGAGTTCTAGACAATTGATGAGGCATCATAAGTTAAAAAAAACAAAAAAAAAAAAAAAACATTTTATTCAGACTTTATTCTCCAATTTTGGGACAAAACTGAAGGTTATTTAAGCAGGAACAAGTATGCAAAAAGTTTTGCAGTAAGATAATGATTCTACTTCAATGAAAAGCACATGCAGATCCATTCAACCAAAAAAAATTGGGTTAATCATCAAACCATGCCAACAACGAAGTTACTACTGAAAGAAATATACATAAACATAAAGTGGCTTTGTCATAAATAAATTGATGATTTCCCTACCTTCAAATCAGAAGAGAAGTTTGTAACTTGCTTTTCGTAGCCAGCTTTCTTGAGATGAAAATTCATCCATTTCAACAAAACCTTTTCAGGCGATAAACCAATAAGCTCCTCCACATCCTGCAAAAGTTTATAATATCATAACCAAAACTATTATTTAATCATTGCTGAAAATGAAAGCATGACTAGATCTTATTTAGAATATTTCTGAAGATGAAAGCATAAATAGAACTTATTTAGAATACATAACACCAGAAGCCGTAAAATTGATCAACACATCATTACCTGGCTGTCATCCACCAATTCCACAAGTTGAGGAGTTTTCTTTAGATTGAGATCAGCTAATAGTTGAATCTGATGTCGGCATCATACGAAGATACGAAAAAACCAACAGTTCAAAATTATGCGAGTCATTGAGAACTCAAATTTAGGTCTTACAATTGAAATAAAATTCCATCACTATTTATTTATATGGATACTTTCAAAACAAGAAATTCAAGTTGAATACCTTGATTATTTGAGAAATCAATCCAAGTAGTAGATGGGGCTACCAAAAGTAAAAAAATTGAAGAATAAGTCAGGATCTCGGGTAAAGTTCAAACCAAAGTGACTATAAAAGCAAATTCCCATTAGTAACTGGTACTCGCTCAACTTACTCTTGCTTCAGCCAGGTCCTGTGTGCCTATATTAACCACCGTGCAGCCAATAGCTTTTGCAGAATTGAGGCCAAGGGTATGGTTCTCATTCTTCTCCCATGGGTTTAGGACACGTTTTGTGTTAATGGCTCGTTCATCTATGGTCCCAGGAACAGCTACATTGATAAGCTTACTGCAAGCGAAAAATACAAACCATCAGTAAATGCTGAAACATGCACTAACGCCTATGGGTGAAAAAATAGTCAGGCAAGTAAGGTGCATCTACCAAAGTAAAACTCCATCTTTAGCAACTTCAAATAATTCATTCGTAGCTGGATCTATTGGAAGATATTTTTTCAAGAATGGATCCTCAGCCAGGTAGCTGTTGATGTGGGCAACATAAGAAGCCTTCTCAGATTCATTAATAGCATGGTGAACAGTGGTTGTGGTTGCTTTTAGAAATGAAGAACTACTACTTGAACCACCTGATTTCTCCATTGCTCGGGCTTGCAAATTTAAAAATGCCTGCCAATTATAAAAGTCCCACACATTGCTGATCCTTTTTCATTTCATCATAATTATAACCCATCTAACAAAGAATGAGAAATGCCATCTTGATATACGAACACATAGTAGCACTAATTGAAATTATGTAAGTAAGTTTTGAAAGCTTAATTTACATGCCATATCACCCATCATCCAAAAAATAGAAAAACCGGAACACATTCATTAAAAGCAATGCCAACTATTCCACAATATCCACAAATAAATTTTCATATTCAAGCATCATGAAACTATAATTGACAAAAGCTGATAAAGAAATTATAGTTAACAAAAGTACAAGAAAATGGAACAATAAGCAAGAATAATCCTAATCGAAAAGATAAAGGAATCACCCGAAGGTAGGATTCAAAGTCGATTTCTTCAGTCATGTCCCTACAGGACTCTCCCAAGATGGACTTAATCTCATCCTCATTACTCATTTCAGAGAAAGCCTTTAACTTTGCAAAAACAGGCGGCAAATCTTCCACCTTGACACGACCCGACTGAGTCCTTATCGAAATAAACTGTAAAAAAAGAAGAAAGAAAAAAGCAATACAACCCCACCCAGTTCATATATCATTCAAATGGTTTGATTCTATCACAAACTCATCTCAGTGAATAATCACATTAAAAAAGAAAAAAGAAAAATATAATTACCTTGGATTTGAGGGTGCGTAGCTCGACTTGGGTGAACTGACTTTGAAGCCATGGATCAGACACAATAACACCCACAAAACTAGACATTTTGGCCTTGTTTTTTGGTTAAATTTTTCTCCACCTATAAGAAAACTGATTTCCAACTATATATACACTTTTACATATACATATTAGCTAACAAATGATGTATAAATGCGTAAATAAAGATGAAAGCAATGCATGCATCAAAGATCAAAACTTTTCATACAAAGAAACATACAAGAAAATGAAGAAGCATAGAAGAAATGAAACCCGTTTAAGAACGTGAATATGTTGATAAAGAAACAAAGAAAACACGAACCTTTAAGAATAAAAAACTCAAGGTAATTAAGAAGATAAAAAAATGTAGTCGTTTATATGATCACAAGTATTGTGTGAGTTGTTTTGACAGAGAAAGGGAGAGAAATGAAATGGTTTTGATGGTGAAAATGAATGAGAAGGAGAGAAAAGCGTGGTGGTCAAAAGGACCCGCGAAGACGCAGGAAATGAAATAGAGAGGGAGGGAGCAGAAGAACCAAATCAAAATAAAACAAAGCACAAACGACCATACGAATACCAAGCATCTGCCTCTGTGTTTGTTCCTTTCCTTTTATTTTGTCCCATTTTTATTATTGATATTTATTATAAATAATATCCCACTCTTCAATTAATTTGTTTCTTAATCATATGATTTATCATTTAATTTCTTTCTTTTTTTACATAAATTTATTAGATACTTGTCATTAAGATACATATTTTATTTAATAATATATTAAATATCAACCTTTTTGACCAAATATATACGCGGTTCAATGAAATTATTATTGAAATGAATCTCTAAAACTTGGGCGGACTGATAAATAATCAATAAAATTGTGTTATTGACGTCTGTAATGGTTTAATAAGTCATGGTGGAAAAGAAAGCCGGCAAGGGTGGGCGGCGGTGTGCGGTTGTGGTGGTTGTGTTTAGTAGGGTGCCTGCAGCGCTTCAAAATGTCAACATATTATTTAGTTTGATTTATGTTAAGTATATTATAAATTAAATTAAATTTGAACATATTTGAGTTGAGGTAGCATTAATGTGGATACTTTGAACTTTTATAATATCATTAATTAATCCTTAAAAAGGTTGTTTTAGCTTTGGTTACAGGCACGGAGTTAGTCATGTTAGTAAGATCCTAAATGCATAAATCTTCAAGAGCAGTATTTAATATTCATACCAAGTTTTAGCCCAAGCATACCAAGAAATTGAGCGTGGGAACGGAGACGTGGCAAATAAAACTATTCTCCTTAGACAAGCCCAATTGTGACTAAATTATCATGCTTCCTACATTCCAATTGCCCCCACCCAAATACATTACGTTTAATTCTGGCCCATTTTTATTAAATTTCTGCTTGGGCCAATAAAAGTTTTGAATGATAAGTCCATTTCTGGTTGAACAGTAAAAAAATTTGGCCCATGCAGGTCTCGAACCTGCGACCTTCGCGTTATTAGCACGACGCTCTAACCAACTGAGCTAATAGGCCGGTGTGTCTAATTGTTTATCAATAGTATACAATTTTTAATGATGGCCAAAAGCAGCAATAAAGTAATAATAAAGCAACTACTACTCATAGCTCATTAAATAAACCTTGCTTAATGAGGTAACCAAGTTAGCTAGCATGTATAATAAAACCATAATTTTCAATAGTCTGATACATAAATGTCTTCATCACGCAAGAGACGACAAAAACAAATGGGGGTTTGCTTTTTACAAGATGACAGTAATTGCAATCCTCCTTATCTAGTAATCTTTAAATTCGGTTGGTGACAGATTGCACTACTCGTGAAAACATTTGTTGGTGCATTTGGTCCATGCTATCACTACTTCATCTTCATACTCTCGATGATTCGAGAAACCCCCAAATGCTTCTAACTTAAAACATTTTTTTATGATGAACTCAAAACAACACAGCAAGCACTAAGTTTGTTTATGATGGAGAGCCCTTTTAGTATTTGTATTTTTAAGTTTATGGGAAGTTAAACACATCTTTTCGAGTCATTGCTCATTGTCTCTCCCTTGTTCATCGGGGAGGTGTTATGATGAGTCTTGATGAAGCATCGTCTATTTTTGTTAGTAAATGAAACAAAAAGCGCCGGAGAAGAAGAGCTAGTACATAAAAATTGACTTCTTTTATTGGCAATTACGCATCATCTCAGTGTAGGCTCTGTTGAAGTCGCTATACCGTCCTCCTTTGTTTTCTAGAAAATATATTACATGTTTCTTATATACTTCCTCCTTCTCTCCTGACATGCTGACAATTTTGTTGCCCTCTATGTAAGATTATATATAATTGAAAGAGTTATGGGGCTATTGTTTTAGATAACTACAGAAAATTGCTAAACTTCACATCTTATAAGAAATATGAATCATAGAGATAAAATTGAAGGCATATATTTTGAATAATGACACAAGAAATCATATTCTGATACATGATCCCAATAGCATATTTAATAAAAAATTTGTTTAAAAATCAAAGCAAATGAAACAAATCCGGATATATCCTTGTAACATAAATTAAAGACTGAATCGAATCATCTCTTACAAGAACAATACCAACCCACCAGACACTGCCAAAACCAACTGACTCCAAATACCCCAGTTGATGACCACACCAGAAGAATTTGCTGGTGAAGATTTTGGAGAAGTACCGTTGTCACTTGTATCAGATGGAGTATCGGCAGGCGGTGCAACAACAGGAGCAGGAGCAGGAGCTGGCATCGGAGGAATGTCGGTACCAAAGATTGCCTCTGGAAGAAGGACCTTATCAACTTGATACACGGCAACAGGATCAGTTGAATGCACACTGCTACTAACTTTAGTTCTAGTCCATCCTGAATCAATGTGCACGGTCCCAGAATCATCAGTGAAATTCAAGGAGTAACCCCCAGAACCAGCATATGTGTTAACAGGACCTCCTTGGCTAAGATTCTTGAACTCAGCCAGAGAGTAGAAATGTGGCAAGGCATGGAATAGGCAAAGTTGCTTAAGCTGGTCTTGAGTGAGTTTGGATAAAGAAGGGTTCTTAAGTGACTTAAAGGCATCATCTTTGGGCACAAATATGGTAATGCCTTCTTCAGTATTGTTAGCTTGGTTTTGGAAGGTATCCAAGACTTTAGTGGATTCAAGATAATTAAGGAAGGTGTGGAATGGACCAGCCACAGTGAGTAAATCAGTCAGGTTCACATGATCAGGGGCTGGCGCTGGCGCTGGAGTTGGGGCTAGTGAGGGAGGACTAGCTGCTTTCTGAGCATTTGCTGAAGAGCACAAAAACAATAGCGCAGCAATCACGAAAACCATGGAAAGTCTCATTTTTTCCGTGACTTTTTATGTTGCCTTTTAAGGTGACCAGACTCCCTGATTCCTGCAAGAACAAAAACAGCGAGTAAATAGATCTCATCTTATAAAAGAAACATGATGCGGGCAAATTCAATCAAACCACAATGCGCGTCAAAGTTCTGTCAATTTCACCCCTAAATCAAAGCCTCAAAGTCCAGAAAAAATTATTAGAAAAAAAAAAAAAAAAGAATCGACTGTTCTCGCTACCCACCGCACTGGCTATAACCCATAACTAAGGTGTATAAAAGTGTAGCAAAACACAACTCAATGAGCCTGACTGGGACACAAAGTCAGATCTTGAGCAACTAATTCAAAGAGAAAGAGATGCACCAACAAATGAAACAGACATGTGGAAATTATGCAAGCATTGACACATAAGACATGCAAAGCAGAAGCGAGATTCGGTTTCAATTTAAGAACCCTTTCAAGAAGTGAACCCAACCTCAGAAATCTCCAAAAGATCAAAACTTTACAGCAAAACTCAGATCAAAATCCCATTTTGAATTCGCATTACAAAATTTCTGAGTAAACCCAAGTAAAAAAATCTCTCAAAGATCAAGAGCAGTCAACGACCACACAATGTATGTACATCGAGAATGACAAAAGAAACAGATCTAGATCAGCTAAAGAGTAAAGAGACACACATTATTAAATAACACTAAAAATAGTTTAAAAAAAAAGAAGAAGAAAAGCATAGCAAAAAAGAAGTACAATGAGAGCAGAGTTTGACAGACACTGACCTGACCAAGAGGAATTGAGAGAGAGGAGAAACAAAGAAATGGTGATGATATGCTTCGGCAGAAACTGAAATGTTTAAGAGAGTATATAAAGATGGATTTAGCAGTAAAGAAAAATGAAGTTGTGATGGTACCAGCTGGTGAAGTGAAATAAAGGTTTAAAATAGTAGGTGATAGTATTTTTTGTTTTTAAAAAATATTTTAGAAAATGTGTTTCCAAACTCGGGAGGTTACTTGTTTAATTGAATTACTTAGAAGAAAAGAGGATGGATTGGTATTGGTCGCCTTTCTTAATCACTCTTCAACTAATTATTTTTTTTTATAAGTCTTACCTTCTACTCTTTTTTTTATCTTCAATTATTCATCATATCATGATAACTTCTACAGTGTTCACTTGCTAACATGCACCTTATCGTTTCTGCTCTACAGAATTTGTATTAGATATTAGAATGACATGTAATCTATAAATCTGATCCATAAACACTCTTTTAATTTATAGATCGTAAATGCAAAATTAAGAATTAACCGAAAAAACAAATAATGTGATGTATATCACGAGTAGAAGTTAGTAAAAATGTCATGAGCCGAGAATTTGTTTTCGAGAGGGGCCCACCACGAGATTTGGGCCAACCAGCATCCGCTGTCGGGTTGTTTGTCACCACTAAAAGCCAATGCCAACTGTTGCTCTCGAGCGATGGTTATTGATTCCACGCCAAACGTGCGCACCATCCACCTAAAACTACGCAAGGGAAGTTTATGTTAGCAAACACGGCTTACTGTACTATGGAAACGACATCGTTTGGTCCTGTCCTACTCTCGCCGACACTAAATGTCAAACCTTCACTAGATAAAAATATTTATAAAATAATCAGATAAATTTGATTTGCTGATTTGGGCATTGAAAGACTATACTTTGGTTGACTTACACTAATTACTAACACGAATTTCAAGAAAATCAACAAACTTTTAAGTTAAATTGAACTGAATGAAATGAAACTTTAATGTAACAATAAGGTGAAAATGATATGATGAAAGCAAAAATCTAATAAATATTAAATCCTGGTTTAATAAAAGATTTTTACCGACTGAAAATTCAAATGTCTGCTTTTTATACCATATGCATCCAATTCAATCCACTGAAAATTAATTAATTAAATTTAATTTTGGATTAAAATGACATGAATGGAGTAATTTGGTTACTTTACCTTAAACATTACAAAATTGAAGAAAGATGCACGTGAAGTTCGTTGGGATGTGCGGTCAAATTAAGCTGAAGATTATATAATCTTAATCATAATATATATTTAACTTAATGAACATTGACTTAAAAAGAGGTTGAGATTTCAAATTTGTCTTTGTAAGAGAGGGAAGGTGGTATGGCAATATCAAATATCAAATGGGNTATATGCATCCAATTCAATCCACTGAAAATTAATTAATTAAATTTAATTTTGGATTAAAATGACATGAATGGAGTAATTTGGTTACTTTACCTTAAACATTACAAAATTGAAGAAAGATGCACGTGAAGTTGGTGCGGTCAAATTAAGCTAAAGATTATATAATCTTAATCATAATATATATTTAACTTAATGAACATTGACTTAAAAAGAGGTTGAGATTTCAAATTTGTCTTTGTAAGAGAGGGAAGGTGGTATGGCAATATCAAATATCAAATGAACCTTTTTTTTTTTAAATTAATCAAATCATATATCAATTAAGTAAATCAAGTTTATTAACAAATTGATTACACATGTCAAGTTCTTTAAGTGTCCCAGTACATGCTGGTCAATGTTAAAGGTAATCAAGATTTTAACTAAACATGCTTAAAGGTAATATAATTACATGGAGAATCAATGTCAACCAAGAGGCGGGAAGATGAGAGGTTACTGTCAATTTGATTTGTCTTGCTTTGTTTTACCATTTCAATACTCCAAATCATGTTGAGAAAAATGTTTTCATGTATATTATCCAGCCATTCAAGAGTTTAAATTAAAAAGAAATTTTAGCATTATCAGCTAAAAAATTCAAAGAACAAAGGTGCAGTTACTTGAAAATAAAACTCATTACCGGCAAGGCTGTGCTGCTTTCTAAAATCTTACCAGTCCTAATATACCAATAGTTTACAATCTACTAAAGAATGAAGATATGACAGTTAAAACAAAAACCCAGGGAGATATGCCACAGGCAAGATATGATTTGATTAAGGTAACATTGGAAGCGGAAAGTCTTCAACCAATAATGGTCTAAGAACATCAACTGAACGAGGATGAAAACGTAGTTGAGACAGGGAGGAGTTGAAGAAACAAATTCATCGTCGGGTCAGGAATGCCTAAAGCTTCCATATTAAATAGAGATTCATCGTGGACAATAGTAGTAGTTCTTTGACGTTTGTCTCCCTTTTCTCTTTGTATTTATTTACTATGTTGTTTTCTTATTAAAAACGCCTACTGCATGTGCCATACAGATAAACCGATTTCACAGCCAAAAGTCAAAAAGCTAGCAAATTGAAGTCTACATCAGGCAATGACTAGATAGCCCCCGCAATTGAATTGATCATATGAAATAACAGATTCCAGATAATGGAACATATATTTAGAAAATGTGGTATTCTGATAGGACTAATAACCAACCAAGAATTATTAAAAGTATTGTGTAGTTAAAAAGAAAAGAAGCACCTGAGAGTTCAAATTTGAATCAGATTTTGGCCCGTGATGTGGTATGAATTGGTAAGGTAGATGATTAATATCCTCAAGGGGATCTCAACAACTCTGATGATTCACCCCAGAGTTGGTGCCTTGGTTGAATTGAATAAATTAATAATATGGCATGACAAGCAAAAGTTACGTCAACAAGACAGACTTTCTTTTACTTTTCTAAACAACTACAGTGATCATATTTTGGGGTCAGCTGATTAAAATTAATCAAGCAAGTTGCAGTAAACTCTATACATTAATCTATAAAGTTAAAACCACTAAACGGAAAAGTTCTAGGCATAATGGCATGCCAGTGGATACCTAAAGGAGATTTTGATCCAAACAATAAATCTAAAGCTAATATAATTCAAAAGAATACCACTTTAACAAAGGCAGGCAATTAAACTGACCTTTGTTCTTGCAGTATATGATCCTCTTGCGAACATGCCAGAAGGGGTTGTGTCTTCTGGCATCACATGAGTGTAAGGTTCTGGCTGAGGACTAAAGGTTCCAAGCATCTCTTTAGCACTTTCAACTGATGAATACTAGTTGTGAGATAAACATTTAGTGGTTGAAATTCAAAATTTTAGTACAATGTAAGAGCGTAGATGGCTTACCTTTGATACCAGTTTTCCAAACAGTGTTGGTGTACTTAAGGCCAGATACAATGTTATTATTGACTTCAAATGTTATTTTGAAGCTGTAATGAGTACCTTCTTTCAATGTAAACCATGACCCCTTGGGTTTTCCACCCTCTGGAATAGTGAGAACAATGTCAGATCTTCCGGGTGAGAGAATTGTCAGACTAAGGATCTTCACTTCAGGTTCAAGAGTTTCTGCATTGAAAGAAAAATAAAACCAGATTTACTGTAAGCAGATGGAAGAGAAAGATGCAACTTGTCAGAAGAAAGCAATTGGATAAGTTTTACTATGATGGATATGAAATATCTCATTAAACAGGAACTACTTCAGTAAGATGGGGGTGTAATGATGGAAATGGTATTCGAAACACATATAACTACAGAGACGAGATTGGTTGCTAAACACAAGATAAGCGGTCAACTATATTCTCTTGAATTGATGAGCACACTTTCATCTAAAGATTATGTTATCTTACTGATGGCACGTTTTTAAGTAGGCAAAAAACCCTCTGTCACAGACTATTCAGCTTTAAATTGTTAACTAGAATTACAAGCAGGGACTGGAAGTTTAGTGTTGGGTTTACAAGAAAGGTGAAAAACAGAATTGCTCTTGGAGAATCAAAATTTGGGGTCTGCTAACGGAATTAGAATTTGAACATGTTGCTAAAATTGACAATTCTCAATTACTCAAAATGGCAGAAAGGGCAGCTATTTCCAATGACCAGTATGCAGCGAACAGTTTTTAGTACCCAAAATTCTGCAACTTCTTCAACAAACAATTAAAAGGAGAGCAGTCTAATTCAACACCACACTTGACTCACTTGTGTTTTTTGGACATAAAACCACTCCTCAAACCAGAAATCTTAAGCCATCAGAGAAGAACAATGTTATACATGCTTTTGTAACCAACTTAATGCCAGAGAGTGAAATTTAAGATGTTCTTTGTCCTTTTGATACGAAAGTTGACAATGGAAGAACAAAAATAAAAACATCAAAACTTTTTCAGAATACTTAGGATTCTCATTTCGTTGTAACAGGAACGAAGAATGACCATCAATTCTATTTGGATATAAATTACACATCAACGGGAGTAATGAAAATACAACATTTAAATGTAGGATCAGGAAAGCGTCAAAATTTCAAACCTTTAGCGAACCTCAGAAATACACATTGTTTGTCATTGACAATCAACACCAAAATGAAAATAAAGGAATCATAAAAGAAAATGTTATATCCTCAAAACCCAATTCTAACAAGATCATAAAACTAAAACGGAGAAGATTAATACCTCCAATGTTTTCAAAATTAACACTTCCAAGAAGTTGCTCCTTCCACTTCCTCAGGCTCTCATCATCCTGTAAAATTCACAAAAAGTCAACAACACATATCAGAGATTGTGCATAGAAACAATTAAAACAAAAGAAAAAGAAGACAAAAGGACCTTATCCTTTTCAAGCTGTTCTTTGAGAGTGTACTGAGGACCAAGTTCAATTTTGGTGTCTACCTCTTCTTCATCATCAGTTTCAGGCATGTGCTTACCTAGCCTCTCCGCGGTTGCCTCATCTTTACCCTCCAAAGCAACATCACTTTTCTCTCCTCGCTCTGTGTTCTCATCAAACCCCATATCCCTGGAACTTGACACAGCTCTAACAGCCAAAGACATTAATAACTCATCAACGCTGAACCCAAAAACAAGGCAAGCAAAAACCAGTACTAATAATGAAAGAAGAATTGGTCGAAATGACTTGAAAAAAAGGCAAGAATTGTCTTTGTCCAAGAAAAACCAACAAATAAGAACCAAAGACACAAAGACCCACAATAACAAAAGAGCAAAAAGACAAAACAGAAAATGGCTGTTTTGTCTACTAGCTTTTTTTTTTTTCCTTCTTTTTGGGGGCGTGAGTGGTGGGTTGTTGCAGACTTATAATGTTGAAAATCTCAAAAGCAAAAATGAATGAATGTAGATAGAAGTAGTTTTTAGTTTTTAGTTGGAGAAAATGTGCAAGGGAAAAGCAGAGAAAAAGTCATGTGGTGATCCGTAATTAAAGAGGAAGAAAGAAACAACGTGAAGGTCACTCATGAAAATGTGAAGACCAGGATCTAAGTAAACTCAGCCTAAGATTGTGCGAGAGATGTTAGGGTGTTAGTTATTACAAGTACAACTACTTGGAACAGGTCCTTTTTTCAGTTCATCTTATCATTGCATTCTCCTTTTTAAGGTTAATACATTTGGATTATGGTAAGAATCGAAGATTAATTCCATGTCACCATTATGTATTTTTTTTCTAACCTGTGGAAAGTCAATATTTATTACTTACAGTTTGTTTTTACCTGGAATTGTAGTTTGGACTGGGTTTAAGAGAGTGTGTGTGTGTGTGTGTGTGTGTGTGTGTGTGTGTGTGTGTGTGTGTGTGTGTATAAGGTTATTATTATTATTATTTAAAAATAATTTTGAGGGAAAGACAAAGTAGGATTATGCAAATTAGAAGTTAGAAAATCGTTGGGTTCGAAAAGGGATTTCTGATATGATAAAATTAAAAAAAATAAAAAAAATGGAATTTATTTAAAACTAGTAATCTATGAACGCGTGAACGGGATTGGATTAAAATATGTTATTAATCTTACCAACTAAACTCATCTTGATTTGCACATGGTATTATTGTATTTAAATGTTTGAGTATCTTTGTTTTGAATAAGCAATTCGTGTAAGCATGTCTTAAGCTAAAATTAAATCATCTGTTATGATATAATATTGAAATTAAATCAATAATTATTTTTTTTAGATGTTGATAAAATAAACAGATTAGTGGATATCAATCCGAATTCCATTTAGTGGGGTAAAATATCCGAATTCGAACACGGATTGGGTTATTGTCAAGTTTTTTTTTTTTTTCATCTGGGTTTGCTTTTGTATTGTGCCTGTCAACTTGAACTAGAGGTGAAATCGAGTCGAATGTATGGGTACTTGAACTCAACTCGGTTACTACGGTATCGAGTTCAAACCTGATGAATCGAATTTGAACTCGAATTCGGTACATAAAAGTTGAATTTGAGCTCGATTAATCGAGTTTTAGTCGAGTTTAATCAAGTTTTAATCTAGCTTTTCGAACTTTTTGTACAATGATCGAATTCAACTTGTAGGATTATTCGAGTTACTCAACCAATGCCAAGTTGAATTCGAGCCAAAACCAAGCCAAACTTGAGCTGTTTGCGAGTGGCTCAGCTCGATTTTCAGCCCTAACCCGAACCTGAGTCAAGATCTATAATCTCAAATTTACTTATATATGTATATACTGGGCTTATCATCTTTAGGCTGGGCCCAATTTCTCAAAGCGACATGGCCCACCTCTTCAAATTACTATACCATGCCCATGTAATGTGTATGCCTAAAAAGAAAAGCGTTTTTTGTATGTAAAAATAGTGGGACAATGAGCCTGACATATACCCATTAAACCAAGTCAAGGATATAAGTTAGATTTAAACAATATTAAATATGGAGGTTGGTGAAATATTACATCAACGTTAGATAATCTGTAGACTAAACTCCCTAGGATGTAGCCATAATCTAACTTGGGAAATGTTGATTTCTCTGCCCTTGTTATGGAAACACAAATGAAAAAAGAACAACCAAATAACATTAAAGTAACTCTGAGGATTGGTTTGGCGGTTAAGAATGTTTGCTTCTTTCATTGATTTCTTGGGTTCGAATCTTGGGGATATCTACTATATTTGTGATTTACTTTAAAACATTAGGTTTATAGAGTATTTAATGGGTCTTGGGGATTAGTTGAGATCCTACCATTTTTGTAATTTACCTTAGAACATTAAGTTTATAGGGTATTTAATGAGTCTTGAAGATTAGTTTAAGTATGCATAAGTTGACCCGAATACCCCGATCATAGCAAAAAAAGAAAAAAAAAAGAGTTGAACCGATAACATCAGTAATTTATATTCTTGTTCAATATTTTCCTTTGAGAAAGATTTTCACTTGTACAAACGCAATCTACACTCTTAAAAAGGAGTTAAAAAGCTTTTCAATATTAATAAGAGTAAACAACACTTTCCCACCCAAGGTTTGGCGAATCTACAGATCCACCCCTGGTTTCATAAATTGCAGATCCTTACCTTTAAATTAATATAGTTACTTATCTCTCAAAATAACCTCCACATCTTAATTTTCTCTCAAATAACCCCCAGAGCAGATCCTAGCCAAGCAAAAAATCTGGTCTGATTTCGATACCAATAGACCTTACCGATACCACCATCAGCATCCTCTTATCCTCCTCACCAAACCCCCTAACTTTTCCACCTGATTGCACCTCGACGAGGTGCCGAAATTTGGTTGGAAAAGCACGACAAAATGTGAAAACCTAAAGGAGAGGCGGGGCCTATTGGCTGGCAATTGCGATCGATCATTTTAGGGGTTTTGGGTGGGGGAAGCTGGTGATACTATTGGTGGTGTTGAGGGTGGTTTCCAATGCTGGGACCTACCAGAATTTGGATGAAATGTATATTGAAACTAAGAGCGGCGGCCGACGATTGGAGGGTTCAATCAGGTGGGGAGGTTAGGGGTTTGATGTGGGGGTTGAAGTTGAGGGGATTGTAATAGTAGTGTCGGGAGGGGTCGACTGTGCCGGAAATAGGGTGGAATGACCTGAAATCGTTGATGGGGTGAATTTGAGAAGTAGAGTGTTATTTTAAAATTTTTATCTTGGAAATAACTATTTTACCTTTTAAACTATTAAATTAAATAGTTTTTTGTTAATTTAAAGGTAAAATTTATAATTTATGAAACCAGGGATGGGAATGGGGAGTTTCGCCAAACCTTGGGTAGGAAAATGTCGTTTACTCTGTTAACAATGATTCAAATGGTTGAACCAAAAACAGATAAATCCATCACAAGATACAAACAATGTCACCACAAAAATTATAATCCTCCAATCTGTCAATAAATCATCATAATTCTTCTTTCCGCCTCTCACATCATATCATATTTATCAATATCCACCTACGTGGTCGGTGATTTCCTTGCCACGTTGGATACTTTGATTGGCGGGTTCCACCTTTAGTGGGTCCATCCACCGCCCCCTAGCACCTAAAGTCCTTTGTCTATGTGAATTTGAGTCCCTGCCCTAAAGCTATAAGGCAGCCATAATTCAAATGGACAGACGCATCTGGACTGGAGGCAAAATCAGGTGCCTGCTAACGTACGAAGTGTTCAGTTATCGTTCTCTTCTCTTGGGATCTACAATATTATTACAAAAATCTCTGCATCATTGGCCCATGTTGTCACGTTGCATGCCAATAATTCCATTTTATGTCCACTTTTTGGTTAAGAAAAAGTTAGCATTATTGTGGTAAAAAGTAGTACATACATTATCAATATTCAATAATGTTGTATTATACTCCTAGAGTGTAATACTCGATACATTAGTGGTTGGTATGAGCGTATGACATTCATTCTAGCTAAAAGAATATTAGAGTTTGAATTTTTCATTAATAATGCAAATATGATATGATTGCTTATTTCAAATAACGATTCATTGGATTTGTTTTAAACATCAAATTTTAGTTTGCCTCCAAAATTTCAACCTCAGCTTTTGTCTTTTGATGATAATATAAAGTGGGTCCTGAGTCAGCAAGGTCAAATCTGTCCATCAAATGGGGTCCACTGGCCTTTGTTATAGAAGTGCCACGTCACCATTTGATTCGTTTCTTTCAAGTAAATTATGCCCATTGGTGGTGCAGGACCCCACCGCAGACGCCGCCCTTTGTTGGCTGAGGTCAGATGGATTGTCTTTTATTTTTTTCTGCTTTTAGTCAAGAATTTTGGTAATGTAATAATTATTTTTTTAAATCAATACAAAACAATAACACGTGACTACAAAAAGAATGAATTCAAACACATTATCATGATCTGAAACTGTAAATTATATCTTAATAATTATGTCATTAAATAATTTGTGGTAACATTTTCAGGGAAGTAGATAGGCTTTTCCTTTACTTCTCAATATCTAACTCTACGATTTTAAGTAAACAATTTATATCATTCGCATTTAAGAGCTTGAGAAAATAGTTAAAACTTTTTCATAGAGATTGAAAACAATTAACAATTATTCAAGAACGTGAGGTGATGATAATCAGGTCACCTTCACACCCGACTGCACAGAACACACAAGCACACATTACAAAAGATAGCTTAGCTGAAAAAATCGAATCAAATAATTAAATTCAACTTGTATTAAAAATACCCTAACTCATCCTCCAACTTGTTTCGCGGCTCTCTTAAATATAATTTACCAAACATGCTAATGGCCTTGAATTCAGTGTGAGGTGTCAAATCTCAAGATTCTTCAAGTGCCCTTCACTTTACACTCCTATATAACCCACTCTCTTCACTCTTCTTTACATCTCATTTCTCTACAGCTAGCTACCTGCGCTATTCATTTTCTTCCTACTTATATTCCATTCACCTTGATCACTTTCCAATGGCTACTGTTGAGGTAAACCATCAGTTAAATCTTTCGCAATTATGTTCTTCCTGAAGCTTACCTGATAGTTATAGATATATGCTTTTCGACTCTTCTATATCATCTCATCTGATTGTTACGACTATAGTCATGATCCCTAATGGCTATATGATCAAATTTTTACTTTTCCTATTTAAAGAAATATAGTTTAAATTATTTGTTGGTTGTGCGGTGCAGGTTGTGTCAGCACAGACAGCTCTTCCGGAGGAGAAAACTGAGCAAACGATCAAGGTTGAAGAAACTAAAGCCGAAGAGGTGGTGGCTGCACCAGCTGCAACAGAGACTGTTGCTAAAGAGACAAAGGAAACAGAAACTGTTGCTCAAGAGACAAAGGAACCAGAAACTGTTGCCCAAGAGACAAAGGAACCAGAAACTGTTTCTGAAGAGAAAAAGGAACCAGAAACCGTTGCAGTATCTGAAGAAAAAGTAGCACCGGTTCCGGAAGCTGAAGCCCCAGCAGAAGTGGAGACAAAGGAAGTGGTCGAAGAGGCCAAGGTTGTGCCTGAAGAGCCAGCAGCAGTAGAGAAAACTGAAGAGGAAACTCCTAAGGAGACTCCAGATGAGCCAGTGGAAGAGAAGGCTAAAGAAACCACAGAAACTACTGAGCCTGAGGTACCAGCACCAGCACCAGCAGCAGAAGCAGAAGTTGAAGTTGAAGCTCCAAAAGAGGAAGTGAAGAAAGAAAAGAAGGTGGTTGAAGCTGAGGTGAAGGTTGAAACAGAAGCAGTGGTTGAGAAGACCGAGTAATTAGAAAACCTCAAAAGAATTAAGTTCGAATAGTGGTGCTACTTAGTAGCCTTCTAGCTTGCATGTCGAGTTCAATGGCTTAATCTAGCTTTATTTAGTGGTTCTGGTAATAAGACGGTTGGGCGTCTAGGTATGGATATGAGTGACCCGCTTGGATTTACCAATGCCAACTTACCACATGGTTCATGGCTGACATGAATCACATCACTCAAATCTGAATATTCTTCATCTTCATCTGCCAACATGCTTCATTCTGATTTTGTGTGCTAATTGGTGTGTGGGCAGAGTTTGTTTGTTGGTGCCAAGAGTGTCATCAAGTTTATTTTATGTTGCATGTATGTTATATTATATAAGCTCATATAAGATCCTTGCTTTGCAATAAATAATAATGTATTACTGCTTTGTTTCTTATAAGATCATGGTTTGTGAGTTATGTATATAACGTAATAACAACTCAAGAGTAAATTAATATTCACAAAACTAACATATAAACTGTGATATGCTATATATATATCTCCAAATTCTTGGATATATAGAAAAAAGAGAGAAATCATGATCCAAAATGTGGGTTACACATATCGTTCCAGCTACAATTGTACAACAATGGTGTCACTCAGTTGTTGTGTTGTGTGGCCAGCAAAAAAGTATCCATGGCCTTTTTGATGGCTTTACGATCGACAAAACTTCATTTTGCTCTTGCAATGTTGTGAGAATGATATGTCACGTTTCAAAGAAATGACAATGTAATTAAAAAAAAGGAGTTACTCTTTGAATTTAAATGCTATTTATTGTTGAACCCTTATTAATTTTGTTTTTCTATTAATTGATTATTTAACATTAGATCGCCGTACTGTGTTCGGATCCATCAAATCCATTATTGATGAACTAAATTTTTGTTAAAAACAAGTTCAGTGCACAAATTTTTAACTAGTTGAGCAATACCAAGTTCTAACCTACACATTCGAAATATATTTTGTGCAATCATTTATTTATTTATATATTTTTGCAAATCTTACAAAAAGAGCCATTAATTTCTTAAACTAGCCACTTTCCATTTGCAGTTCTAATAGCTTAGAGTCCCGACATAAAACTGTAACGGGCTTCTCTTGTGTACTATATTGATCCAATATCAGGCCCATTTATCAGAACTCATGTAATGCCACCATTAACGGTTGAATTTTCATTGAAAAGGAAAAGCGAATGGCTATGGCTATGGCTTCTCCGTTCACAAATTCAGCAGGCGTAACAAGAGGCAGAGATGAAGTGTACGTGGCGGCAGTGCCATTAAGAGCCACAAAGGGACCTGCCCAGTTACTCATGTCTGCAGCTTACTCTCTCAGTTTATGGGATTTGCAGCACTTCATGGTCATCATCAAACCCTCCTCACCTCCTCCTCCCCAGGTATTTTCTTCTTGATTTATAAAGCTAAAGAAAAATTGAGTTTCAATTATGGTGTTAGCCCTCCTAATGGAGTCCATGGTTCTGTTTTTTTTTTTTTTTTTTCTCCATATTGCAGGTGTTTGTTTTCGATTTTCAACCAAAAGATCCTGAAAATATATATACAGCACTTGAAGTTCTATCTGGTAGAGCAATACCTGGTCAGTGTACAAAAGTTGCTGCATTTTATCTGTTGAACAGTCAATTTATCTAGTAATGGATCAAATTAGTTGTTACCAATAAAAAATTTTCAGTCTTATAATGAAAAATTTGACAGAAATTTTATCCTTTAACAGTTAGTTGGCACCAACTAATTGTAAAGGATGGGAAGTGGTCATATCTCAATCCGATTGGGATTAACTTATAGAATTTGCATATGATAATTTGTTAATGAATAATATGGGTTGTTTTCTCTCCATTTTTACATATCATGTGCATCTTAAACTTATCTTAGGAACTATTCTTGTAAGAAAGTTGACAAAACTGCCAAGAAACAAATGTTGGCTTGTTGGATCTTCCAATTCAGATGCTATTGATGTAGCAATTAATTTCAACCAAAATTGGGAAACTGATTTGAGAGTTGGCCATCATGACTGTCGAGATTATACTAATGGTAATAGTCCTATCCGTTATTTAAAATGTACCTTTTCCTTTGAATTATAGACTCTAAATAAACGAACTTATTCATTTGTTTTGTAACTTGGAAGGATTGGTTGAGCATCTCACTGGCAAAAAATATGTGTTGCAGTACCTGAGAAGCATTGGTGGTCAGAGTTAAACCATCTATTCAATTGGCTTCTTGATCATAAACAACGCTTCTTTTCTTTCTATTAGCAGTTGTACATGAGCAAAATTTCTGCTGTCAAAATATGTTTTGTATCACTATGATGTTGTATATGGAGTCCTGTCTTGCATGTCCAAGCTACCCAGACTTGCTAATTTTCAACAAATTCTTATTCTTTTTAGCAGTACAATTGTATTCTTATTATATGGTAAAAACATTATCATTCAGGTACTTTTGTCAGTTTAAGCACTTTCGAACTCGCAGGAAATTAATCAGCAAGACATTACAGAGGTACTAATAATGAGGGGGAATATGAATCCTGTGAAGATCTAGTCTGGTGCAGAATTTCTGGTTGCTGAGTTATATTAAGCTGTTCTTAAGATAATTATTTAGATGCTGACATGCCAGAACCTTTCTTTCAAAATTAAATATTAAGTCATTTCACATTCTAGTATGAATATAGCATCAATAATATTGAAAGGGGGCATATATATAAGTTTGTAGTCAAATCAATAAAGGAAAAAGGTATTTGGGTTATGACCTCATTGAGTAACATAATAGCAAAAACCAAAATGGTCCACGCATAGCGACAAAATTTTATTGGTATTGGACGACTGGAGTAAAGTGATCTCTCTAAGCACTCACTTATTAATGGGTAGGAGATTCCCCAGATGAAGAGTTACTTGAAACTGATGAGCATTGCCAGTTTTATACGTTTGAAGCTCTTATCTTTGGCCTTTGGGTCATAAGATAACAATACATGATAGCAACATTTGACCAAATGCTTGAGGGGATTCATGAAGGTCGATTTCTTTGTTTTTGTTTTTTTTTTTCTTGGTTTATCTGGTACTATATCAATATCTTTGTTCCAAGAACATGTTAAACTAACGTGCAAGAAATGCTACTCCGACATCTTAAGTTACTTTAAAAGAACCTCACTGAATGTGTAAACAATTGGATCCATGAAGCCGTCTTGGTAGCTGACAACTAAGGTAGTTTATGGCACGTTTTTTAGTGGATGCANTTTTGTTTTCGATTTTCAACCAAAAGATCCTGAAAATATATATACAGCACTTGAAGTTCTATCTGGTAGAGCAATACCTGGTCAGTGTACAAAAGTTGCTGCATTTTATCTGTTGAACAGTCAATTTATCTAGTAATGGATCAAATTAGTTGTTACCAATAAAAAATTTTCAGTCTTATAATGAAAAATTTGACAGAAATTTTATCCTTTAACAGTTAGTTGGCACCAACTAATTGTAAAGGATGGGAAGTGGTCATATCTCAATCCGATTGGGATTAACTTATAGAATTTGCATATGATAATTTGTTAATGAATAATATGGGTTGTTTTCTCTCCATTTTTACATATCATGTGCATCTTAAACTTATCTTAGGAACTATTCTTGTAAGAAAGTTGACAAAACTGCCAAGAAACAAATGTTGGCTTGTTGGATCTTCCAATTCAGATGCTATTGATGTAGCAATTAATTTCAACCAAAATTGGGAAACTGATTTGAGAGTTGGCCATCATGACTGTCGAGATTATACTAATGGTAATAGTCCTATCCGTTATTTAAAATGTACCTTTTCCTTTGAATTATAGACTCTAAATAAACGAACTTATTCATTTGTTTTGTAACTTGGAAGGATTGGTTGAGCATCTCACTGGCAAAAAATATGTGTTACAGTACCTGAGAAGCATTGGTGGTCAGAGTTAAACCATCTATTCAATTGGCTTCTTGATCATAAACAACGCTTCTTTTCTTTCTATTAGCAGTTGTACATGAGCAAAATTTCTGCTGTCAAAATATGTTTTGTATCACTATGATGTTGTATATGGAGTCCTGTCTTGCATGTCCAAGCTACCCAGACTTGCTAATTTTCAACAAATTCTAATTCTTTTTAGCAGTACAATTGTATTCTTATTATATGGTAAAAACATTATCATTCAGGTACTTTTGTCAGTTCAAGCACTTTCGAACTCGCAGGAAATTAATCAGCAAGACATTACAGAGGTACTAATAATGAGAGGGAATATGAATCCTGTGAAGATCTAGTCTGGTGCAGAATTTCTGGTTGCTGAGTTAACTTAGATATTAAGCTGTTCTTAACATAATTATTTAGATGCTGACATGCCAGAACCTTTCTTTCAAAATTAAATTTTAACTCATTTCACATTCTAGTATGAATATAGCATCAATAATATTGAAAGGGGGCATATATATAAGTTTGTAGTCAAATCAATAAAGGAAAAAGGTATTTGGGTTATGACCTCATTGAGTAACATCATAGCAAAAACCAAAATGGTCCACGCATAGCGACAAAATTTTATTGGTATTGGACGACTGGAGTAAAGTGATCTCTCTAAGCACTCACTTATTAATGGGTAGGAGATTCCCCAGATGAAGAGTTACTTGAAACTGATGAGCATTGCCAGTTTTATACGTTTGAAGCTCTTATCTTTGGCCTTTGGGTCATAAGATAACAATACATGATAGCAACATTTGACCAAATGCTTGAGGGGATTCATGAAGGTCGATTTCTTTGTTTTTGTTTTTTTTTTCTTGGTTTATCTGGTACTATATCAATATCTTTGTTCCAAGAACATGTTAAACTAACGTGCAAGAAATGCTACTCCGACATCTTAAGTTACTTTAAAAGAACCTCACTGAATGTGTAAACAATTGGATCCATGAAGCCGTCTTGGTAGCTGACAACTAAGGTAGTTTATGGCACGTTTTTTAGTGGATGCAAAAGCATTATTGCCGAAGGGCTCTTTTGATTTTTTATTTATTTGTTCTAACTTTTAATGCGTGCAGTAACCTCTGATATACTATCAAATTTTCAATGGCCTTTGTCTGTTTTAAGATTTCTCAGGTACTGGTGTATGGTGATCCTCTCTGCAACTCTTTAACTATAAAAATGAAAAACAAAAATGGAATCTGAATGTATGGCTTGCGATTAAAATATCTTTAACAGGAAATATATATGTGGTTTGTACAGTTGTGCTTTTCTTTTTTTGTTGTGGTAACTGGTAATTCTTTCTATTTTTCAGACTGGGACTTATCGTAACATGTGTACGCCTTAAACTTTATATGATCAATCTTGACTTGGTTGAAGATTAGGTGGCTAAGATGGAGCTTTCAGCTTTCGGCTTTACACTAACAGGTTGAGGTGGGTAATTGGGTATAGCAACAAGTACATTAAAGTTAGTTTTGAAAGAAGAGGCCCAACTTAAATCCCATGCAAAAAATAAGGACAATATGACTCCACTTATTATACAAACAGAACTCAGATCTATTACCATTACCAGTAGAAATCAAATCTTTCATTGTTATTTTTCTCGGATGACTGGATATAGAAGAACGGTATGAAACGTGCAATCTATCCCTCTTTATGTAAATTAATAAAGGAATGGATACGTATTGAGTGAAGAGTAAAAAGATCAGCCGTATTCTTTAATTAAATATGAAACGATAAATCTTAGAGATTGCAAAAACTTCAAGGGAAAAAAGTAAAGGGGCTCGAGGCATGGAGTCCTTTTTGGTGGCTGACTTTAAGAAAAGTTCAACCTTGGTTTGGTGGAAAGCATGATTGAAGGGCTCCTTTAAGACTTAGTCTTATTGTTATACTTACACAACAAATAATATATAAATCTCTTGCAAGTGCTGGCGGCCACTTTGCACTTGCAGAGTTCAAGGCCTTCAGAACAAAATATGGGAGGATAATGTTGTAAAGAAAAAAGAAGTAAATGCATCTCTAGTCTAAAACTTAAATGCTAGATTTAATGTCAACCGTCCAAAGTTGTTTGATTTAATGATCTAAAACTGATGAAAAAAATGTGGTGCATTGATCCTTGCCTAAAAACGTAATACTCCGTATATAAAAAGTCCAAAACGTAGAAAAATAAAAAAGTTGGTGAGTACATTGAAGCTATCACAGGCATTAGTGATCACCAAAAAGTCTCCGGAAACTGACATTGATCAAAAAATTTGTTGACCGGGTAAGCGAGTTCACACTAAATTCTAGCGGGTTACGGGCCTTGGGGCATACCAACCAAACAGCGTGTGGATGAAGAGTGCCACACCAAATTGGTGACTCACCATTCAACCACACTATTCATCTACCCCAAAAACATCTTTTGTTTCCTTATTTTTGTTATTTTTATGTTAATTTGATTATTATTTATATAAATAAATCTGAGCAATAACTAGTTCAGAAAAGAAAAGGGGTGGTGATTGAATTGAAACTCCATGATGGGATTCTAGTTCAATTCTTATTTTCAAAAGAGAAGGCAGAACTTGAAGGTCTGATCTAGATTCATTTCAATTGCCCAATAAGAAAAAATGAGCTTATTCTGAGGCCTAATGAAGATGATCCTCTAACTTTTCAGATGCCTTTTTGTTCAAATTATTGGTTTCAATTATTACAATTAAGAGAATGGTTTTGCTTTCTGTTGATTTGGTTATCATTATTCCTCTAGCAGGAGAACAAGTTTTCATAAAATTTTTACAGAGAAAATGAGGCATAGTTTAACTATTCCTAATATAAATAAATTTATGAACATTAACCATGTGTATATCATAACTGACAATGAAGATTAAAAGCAAGTCACAATTTGTTATAAGAAAATACAACAAACACGAAAACAGAATTTTGTTTCAGTAAGGTATAAACTCACTGGAAAAGAAGCACTAGAACTTTCTTTGTTTCTGCACTTTAAATATCAAGCGGCGTATCGATCCAGTTGAAGCTTCCTTGATGAACAATGGTTTGAAACCAATTTGGTAGACTCTGAAACATGAGATCCTTAAATTTTCCGCTCTTTGGATCATAAGAAACAAGAACTCTGCTCTTATACTCCAACAAGATCTGCCCATTGTATAAAAGACACAGAACTCTTACAACTCTTCCATTGGAAGGATTCTTCCAAATCTTGAAAGGTCTATCAAGATTTTGTTTGAGTCCCTTTGGGATGTAAGCTCCAATATTAAACTCCTTAATCCAGGACTCATTCTTATTATACTCTTTCATAACCCAGATCTCCAATTTCCCATAATTTCCATAAACTGCTGCAGAGAGACACCCTTTAAGAACCGCGAGGTGATAGTTACACCTATTGAGACCACCGCAATCAGGTTTGGGAACCTCCCGGAACTGCTCATCAGCCAAGTCAAATGAGACTATCCGACGAGCAGGGCTATATCTACGAGGTCTAGTAACCCAATGAAGTCTCCCGTTCACCAAAGCCTCGGACGGCCGCCTCACAAACTGATATGATAACTTTCCAAGACTCCTCCAGGCGGGGCTGCCTAGAGTATAAACTTGAACATCTGATCTTGGATAAATGATTCTCCGGGCACGTTGATGGTAGTTGCTACTACTATAGCTTTTTCTATAATAAACTATTTTAATCACCTTATATTGTTTAGTCACAGGATGGAATCCAAATCCAAACACAACTTCTTGATCAGGGTATTGCAGAGATTTAGGCAACTCAATATAATCCCTGGTGAAGGGATTATATATATAGAGTGCATCATTGTATAATGAATCAGACAAAGCAAGTAAGCCATTACATGAACCAACTACATCAAACTCAGGCATCTTAGCTTGGAAAGGCATATGAAATTTTCTTACCTTGTCTTTTTCATCGTCTTTGTGAGAGAAAAAATCTATGAAGTAAAGTTGGTTCCTGATGGGAAAGTCACAGTGAAGGATGAGACATGGATTGTTGGTTGCATCATGAGGTTTGGTTGCAAGTTGAAGGTTCGCAATAAGAGGATCTTGAACCAAGGCACGCCAACCTTTGCAGACATACTTGAATTGTACCAAAGATGTAATTGGTAGCCTGGAAAGTATGTCAAGAACAACATCGCGTGGCAGAGCTTCCATCCCAGTTGTTGTTTGTGGAAGATCATCTTCAACCTTTCTTCTTCTTTTGTTAAAAACTATTTTCTCATAATAATCTAACTCCATGGCTAAAGCTGATGCGGTGAGTAACAAAACAAGATGGTATGAAAATCAAAGAAGAAGTAGTAGTGGTAAGTTTGGAGAAGAAAAATAAAAAGGGGTTGAAGATAAACATTACATGCTAGACTTTGATAAGATCAAATTAAATAAATAAACCAAAAACGAAAAAAAAAAGAGCGAGAGAGAGAGAGAGAGACGAAAAACACAAGAAAATGGTGTTGTATGGAATCCACCATTGAATATTAATTCTCTATGTTTAGTTTCTCTTTATTTTCTTTCATTTTATTGATGGACCCAACAATCACAACCGTTGATTATGAGAGTGCATAAAACGCAAAAATATATGAATCCAATTCCATGGCCATGGATAGGTCATAGGTGACCCTACTGATAATGACCCTGCAACATAGAAAATATATTTTGAAAACCAAATAATATATAATATATAAATAGTGGTACTGTACATTGTTCAAACTTCGCTAATAATCACGGAGTTGAAAGTTTCTGTAACAGGGCCCCATGTGCATTAAAAAAGTCTAAAGATACAAAATAAAAGTCTTTGCAGACGATATATACAAAGATAAAAGAGACCAAACCGAAGCAAAATGACAGGGCCACTTTTGGGCAGATTCTAGCAACCAGCCAACAAAAGAAAAGCCCGAAAGTTCCTCATGGTTTTCTGCGTTCATCACCATCTATAAACCCTTTTGCGAGTAGGCTAATATATATTTCTTCTATTTATATCTTTTTAATTTAATTTGAGTTATCGGGTTAAATTTAAGAACTACAGTGTGAGTTCCAAGTCTTATATATTTCCAGGAAAAATCCTGGAAGTTTACCATGTCATGTCACTTCCCATCAAGTCTTGCATTAAAAATCACAAATTAAAAACAGGATTCATTATGTTTCTGACATTGTAATTGGATTCGTTGAATATTTGGCCAGTAGGATATCCAATAGTCAATGTTACCGGGATAGCACTATATCATCTTTGTACATAAAAATATGAACAAGGGCCAGGTGGTTGGTTTGAATAATATACACTACTATCTTTATAGTCCTGGTAAAATTAATGTGGGAAAGAAAAAGAGAAACTGTAAAGTTTCAGATTCCAATTTACAGTAGTCAAGAGGGGACAAAATAAAATTCTTTTTCTTTTGAAGGGAGGTCTTGCTGTAGTGAATAGAAAAATCAAATAGATAGATTCCAAATTTCAAAATAAGGGAAGAGAATTTAAAAAGAGGCATTGCTATTTTGATATTCCTTTTTTTTTTTTTTTAATTTAACATAAATGTGACTTGTTGGGATTTCTTTCTTATCTTTTCAAATAAGGGATGCCAATAATTCAGAATTCTTTTTATTGGAATATTTTCAAAAGCAGTTTTTTAAAGAGTAAACGACATAGTCCCACCCAAGGTTTGACAAAATCCTAAGTTGGTACCTCTGGTTATATTTATTCCAGATTTCCACCTTTAAAGTGACGGAAGAGTGTTTGATGTAACGGTAAAGAGGCAAATTGGTCATTTTGCATGGATGACGCACGTTAGCAGATTGTCACCTTTAATAGTCCTCTAGTGCACGTTAGCAAACGGTGTCTCCGATGTTTTTTGCCATTTTTCCGGGGATTCTTCCACCCAAAATCACCATTGCCACCACCGTTTGAACCCCCATCGTCCCCTCTACAAAACCTTACCCTTCACAAGCTCTCATCACTCATCGATCGCCAGCCACGACAACCGCAACATTGTTACTAGTTTTTGCTGATTTGCAGCTATTTTGAATGGTGACAACCTCAACCACCACCACCATTTGACTCCTCGCATCCTCCCCTACAAAACCCCTAACCTTCTCAGCCACGACAGATCACCGTTTGTTGTCTACCACTTCATCAAAAAACGATCAATGAACACAAACTCTTGGCCCACGAACAACGACTAAACGATTGCTGGGGACATAGGGGTTTTATAGAGCTGGAGACATTGGTTTTAGTGGTGGTGTCCAATTGGATTTTCATTGCTAGAATCGATCGGAATCCGACGAAGAATAGAGAAACCCTAAGCCTAATGGCGCTGACAATTGGAAGGGCCAATGAGTCGGAACCAGAGGGGTTTTGGACGAAAAACTGCAGGGAAGGTGATGGAGGTGACCAGGGGGTTTGACACCGTCAGAAACAGCCCAGATTGGGCAAAAATCGAGAGGGTGTGCAGTGATCGAGGGTGTTATTGAGATAATTTAAAAATAAAATGGTAAGTTTTATAATTCTACTAAATTAGGGATTAAAACATAATTTATTAATTTAGGGTTAATGGCATTATGGTAATTGCACCCTTTATACCCTAAAAATTGCTAACAGTGTTATTTTAAGGGTATGAATCTAGAATAAATATAACTTAGGGTACTAACTTGAGATTTCGTCAAACCTTGGGTGGGAATGTATCATTTACTCTTTTTTAAATGTAAGCTACTGTAAGATTATAGTGAATTCTATTAAACTTTATACTGTATAGCACTTTTTCGAAATCGTTTTGGATTATTAAGTTAAATACCCCTTTAAAATAATAAAAAAAGGGGTCAGTTCAATTGAAAAAAGATTATATGCTAAAAAAAAAGTTGATATTTGGATAGGAAATTATTACAAGGGTGTAAAAACTTTTAAATGGTTATCTTTAACAATTTTTTTATTTTATTTTTTTATGTTTGAGGGTGTCCAAACCAGTTTATATACAGTTTAACTAATCCTTTAAGACTCTATGATTATCGATCGGATAACGGTTCTAGTAACTATATCTATTAGTATTCGATGAAGAGTTCGAACACTAGAGTTCTTAAGTAATATACTTAAAAGATCTTATTGAATCACTCAATTACCCATAACGTAATTTATCTATACCATTATCGTAAAACAAAGAAAAGGGCAGCTTACCAAAAATTGTGATCGCACAGAAAACGATGAGACAATCTTAGTGAAAATTTATAAGGGTTTTGGTATAAATCTTAGAGATGATAAAGAAGAGGTAGAGTTGGTTGGTGATATCTTTAATGAAGATTGACGAGGTGGTAAACGTTTTTGACTTTTTGTCGTATGTTGAAAGAGTATGAATCATGCATGTGACAAGTGGTTCCATGCCTCCTCCTTTACCATCTTCATCTCCCCTATTCTTTAAGCTTTTAGTCATGTTTTTCAAACTTGTCTGTTTAGGTTGGTTTTGGTTTGAGATCTCAAAATAGTTTTTAAGAGTTAAAACCAAGTTAAGAGTTTGTAGTAGAACATAATTTGGATATGTCATAGTATATTTAAAAATTAAATTAATAAACATGATTAATTAGTTTTTAAGATTAGACGATAGTGCCTTGATCACCAATCAAAAATATCCCAAATAATTATTTAAAATTTTTTTAGTATATCTAACTATTTCCTCTTTATTTGTTTCCAAATAATGATATTGAAAGAAGATTCTCCGATTGCGTAGAGGCTCCTCAAACAATACCCCATTGTTCATAAATCCTCTTCCATCAAGTTTTGTTAAAAAGTACTTTCATGAAATTATTTAAGAATGATTAATATAAAATAAAGTATAATGGAAATCAGTATTCATTCATCTCTAAATTCTGCAAAAAGAAGCGTCTGCAGAATAACCATTAGGACCTAACACTAACTGTAGTGATTGCTGAACTGATGAAAATACCATGCAAATGGAGAGAAAACAAGTAAACAACAATGCAACGAACAAGGAGAAAATCGATTTTCATTATAACGAAAAAGAAGAACATGCTTCTTTATTTTTTCAATTTACATATCAATGGGGATATCAATCCAATTGAGGCTACCCACATGAACAATAGTTTCAAACCAGTTTGGCACTCCTGGAAAATCTAGATCCTTAAATGTTCTGTTTTTGGGGTCATAAGAATATAAAGCTCTGTGCATATATTCTAACAAGATTTCACCATTCTTCAGAAGGCAAATCACCCTAAAAAATCTTTTTTTCAAATACAACTTTGAACTCTTTGAAGGATGCATCCCAACCTTGTTCTAAATTTATCCTTTTGATCCAAGACTTCGTCACATTATATTCCTTCATAACCCAAATCTCAATATCTCGAGTTCTCGACCATCAACCAAAAAAGCTGCAGATAGACAGCCTCCTAAGACTGCCAGATGGTTATGATGACCTAAGGTTGGACAGTCAGGCTTGGGGACCTCCCGGAATTGGTCATCTGCTAAGTCAAATGACACGACCAGGAGACCTAGCCAATATTTATGGGGCCAAAAGATCTAGTGAAGTCTTCCATTGAGCAAGATGGGTGATGACCACAATCCAAGGAAGTTGTAAGGTAATTTTCCTACTCTTCTCCGAGCGGAGCTTCCCGGAGTGAGTACCTGAGCCTCTAATTCTTTATCGGTATATAAATCCCTATACAGAAGACTATTTGCACTTTCAAAACATATAGCAATCACCTTGTATTCCTTTGTGGTAGGATGGAAGCCAAATCCAAACACGTTCACCATCTCTTTATGCGAGACCTTCGTGGGTTCAGGAAGCTTTAAGTAATCCCCGGTAAAAGGGTTATATATACAGAGTGAGTGGCTTGCAGGTGATGATGAATACCTTAAGCATAGAAGGCCATTACATGAGCCTACAATGTCAAATTTAGGCATCAAAGGAACGCAAAATTTCTTCAATGCCTTGTAACTTTCATTCCGAGCAGAGAAATCTACAAAGTAATTTTGGTCTTGAACAGGATAGTCTTGGTGTAGAATGAAACAAGGATCATTTTCAGTCATGCGCAAGAAATGCATATTAATGAGAAGAGGGTCTTTTGCTAAGTTGCACCAGGCTCGGCAAACAAACTTGATTTTGGCTAAAGATGTAATAGATAGGCTTGATAATATATTGAAGGAAATCTCACGCGGAAGACACTCTAATGTGATCTTTGGTGCATCTCCATCTTTGCCAAGCTTGCGGCTCTTGCTCTGTTTCTCACAGACTGAGTCCATAGTTGGGGAAAGATTTAGAAACAACAAGATTTAAAGAAGGCCTGGAGATGAAAACAAAGTTGAAAACAAATAAATATGATTCTTAGATATAAAATGAATAAAAATAAGTTGGAAATTACGATGAAATAGTGCTGTTAGGGATAAAAAATGCTACAGGGTGGCAAAACTAAGAACACACAAACAAATAATGTCATAAAATATATTGAATCATCTTATCTCGTCCATTTCAAGACTCCAAATTATTCCAGTTATGGACATTTAGATGCATTGAGGTCAAATTAAAGAGCAAGCCCCCAGTAACTACAAAGAAGAATGGTTTCTGAGGCCACAAGAGCACTTTAAAGACCAAGGTTGATATGCACCAAGGTAGCAAAAAGGTAAAAAGTAGACTATACAAATTTTTGGGAGAATAAATTGCATAGATGATCAATTGTATTTGCAACTTCATACATTCCATCGTCTATCATATTGTTCAATAATTTCAATGAAAGAGGGCACAAAATAAATGTAAGGACATAATATTTTACTTTACTCGCTAAACTTACATATTGTCTGTCATCCCATTCTAATGCAATGTACGCTCAACTTTCTCTAAAAACAGTATGAGTAGTTCGAAACTGGGACTTGATCTTCAGTGGCGGTGTGGCACACAGCTCATATAATTGATATTATTTTGAATAGATGAAAACCAGTGAGAAGCGTCTACTCATCAGTTGCACACTCTCAAGAGGAATTAATGGCGGAAAAAGTTGGTTTATTTGTAACATCCTAATATATGCTCATTCTGAAACTTTATTAAAACACTTGGTTGAATGTCAACATTAGTTTTCTGGACAAGTGAGGGAAGTGCTATGTCACGGGATGATAAGTCATTGAATTGGAATATCAAAAACAGTGTATATTTTAAACTCACAAGATAACATAAAACCAAACTTTATTTTGTCATCGAAGAGCAAATTTACTGAGTGAGAAAGAAGCATAGACTTTGATAGTCTTCCATTTTTATATCAACGAGAGTGTCAATCCAATTGAAGCTACCATCATAAACAACAGCTTCAAATAAATGTGGCATTTCAAGGAACAAAAGATCCTTAAATGTTCCATGTTTGGGGTCATAAGAAACAAGAGCTCTGCGTTTATACTCCAACAAGATTTCACAGTTTTTCAGAAGGCATAACACCCGCGATGAGCTATACTGATAGAACTTTAAATCCCAGAAGGATTAGGGTACATCTTGCTCTAATCCTCTTGGCACGTGAATTCCAATCTTGTATTGCTTGATCCAAGACTCCTTCACATCAAAATCCTACATAATCCATATCTCAAATTGCCCATAACTGATCAGGACGGCTGCAGAAAGACAAGCTTGTAAAACCAAATATATTAATTAATATAATAATAATAATATTAAAAAAAAGTTTGTTTTATTATTTTGAATAGAATTTTTGAAAAAATTAAGTTTGATTGTTATTATGAGGTAGGATGCTAGGATTTGAAAATTAACAAAAATGCCCTCTAGGTTTGTTCATTTAGCTAAACACCCTCTATAAGAAAAAAGTTTAGAAATTGACAAAAACACTCCCATCCACACACATTTGCTAGATTCCGGTCACCATCGCCGAAAAGTGGCCAAAATCTGGTATAATGGTACATGACTGGCTGAATCTGGCCAATCGTGTGCCGATATGACCTTCTTCAGCTAGATCCATCATGGATCTGGTTGAAAAAGGCCAAATCTATGGCCAGATCTGGTTGTCAACGATAGCCAAAGATATGACCATTGTTGACAGTCAACCATGGCAAAGATATGGTTGTCATTGACGGTCAACTAAAGCCATATCTTGGCCGTCGTTGACGACCAGATGTGGCTAAAGATATAGCCGTTAACGACCAGACATTCGGTTGTAGATCTGACATTTTTCGGCCAGATCTACGATAGATCTGGTCGGAAAAGGCTAGATCAGTGTACTACTAGTTAGATCCAACCGATAGTGTGCCATTACTCCATATTCTGACCACCTTCCGATGATGGTGGCCGAAATCTGGCAAATGTGGGTTGGTGGGGGTGTTTTTGCCAATTTCTAAACTTTTTTTTTTTTTTTTTTGGTTGAGGGTGTTTAGTTAAATTAACAAACTAAGAGAGTTTAAAAATAGTTGAATTAAATATAATTGAATTTTCAAAATAGAAAATAGATATGTATTTTGAGTAGGATTTCAAAAATCCTACTCAAAATAGAGAAACAAACACACCATACAATACAGTCAAAGATTTTTTTCATAGATTTTTTTTATTATCTTAACCAAACATATTAATTATTTATACTCACTAATTTATTTCAATCTAACCAAACATATCTAATATGATATTCCCAATAATTTTCAAAATAATATATCTTCCTATTAATATTATTAGTAATAAAATATTCCTTGAACCAAACGCTAATATAACATCATCAGTAATACAACATTCCTTGAACCAAACACTCACTAAGTTTCTTAGCTTAGAAATGCTCGCTTATTTGAAAATTAGAATATTCATTCAAAAGTTATGTTATCATGTACATAATGATTTTAAAAAGTAAAATTATAAACCATTTATAAATTAACTAATAATATATATTTAATTAGAAACCCAAGTTCCCGTGTTGGATCTGAAGCCTATAATAGGGCCCAAACTCGGGCCTTGTGTTACCTGGTCCACTTCGCTATGGTCTTGATTCGGAACCAGGTCTTTTTGCGGCATATGACGTGGTTTGTTGAGAAGATGAACTTGAATTTAAATTTTAGTTGTGAGGAACGATGATTATTATTTTTTATCCAGTAAACGAGCAGATTTAGATTGTAAGCAACATGACAGGAGTTCATGGCATCTTAATTACACACATCAACTTTAACACAAACTTTTGGTATGGAGTAGTGTTACGTTTGCAAACTTTTGCTTCTAATTTCTATGTAGAAATGAGAGTGATATTACTAGGGGTGTGCGGTTCCAGGTACCTTGCACTTTTTGAAGGAACCGTGACCGAAACTGGAACCGATGGTTCCTTGAAATTTGGAACCAGAACCAGAACTGACGGTTCCTGTTCCTAGGTACCCAGAACCAGAACCTGTAACAACGGTTCCAGTTCTGGTTCTGGGTATCTTATAAAATTCATGACCCCCCAAAAGTTTTTAAAATGGCAAAAAAACCCTTAAAAACTTACAAATACCCCCCACCTGGCACTTGTTAACAAAAATAAAATTATAAATTATAAATTCAAAATTACAAACTCCATTACTTTGTAAAGGTAGATTCTCAAAAGTCAAACCAACTTACTTTAAATTTTATGAAATATAAATATAAATGTATTCACATTACTTTTTCTACAAAAGTTTTTATTAACCCCCCTAATATTTAATTTAATTTTATATTAGTATCGGTTCCTGGTTCTTGGTTCCTGGTTCCGGTTCCAAAAATTTGGAATCGGAACCTACCCATTGACGATTGATTTTGGGTAGGAACCGGAACCAAACCCAGGGTACCTGCCGGTTTTAGTTCCAACCGATTCTTTTGAAAACCCCTAGATATCACCCTCACACCAAATTGGCATTCGGTGGAATGTCACATCCTTGAATATTCTATATTATGGTTTACAAGATGTCATGTCACCGTTTTTCATAAGGCATAAGACTCGAAACAATGATAGAAGTCATAGAACTTTGAATCTCTGTAGCCATTCCTCTTCTAACTTTCTCAGGGGGAAATTTGTAATTTTTAATACCTTAGAGAGATTTTTGTTAGTTAATTAAACCTCAATGGTGGAAATAATTCTAACAATAATACAAAGATTCTATAACTTCCTCACCGAATTTCACGAGCCCACCATCTCTCGTGTTGGTTTATACTCCTTTTGTAATTTGAAGTTTCTTTCGCAAAATCTAATTCTTACAAGCTTTTCAAATATAAAATACATATTCGTTACAAAGTTACAATATATATATATATCATAGAAGGTGTCTGAGCTAGTTTATGTTCACCTTAACTAATCCTCTGAGGCCTTGAAATTATCTATTGAGTAAGAGCCCTAATGACCACCTCTATTAATGTCTGGAGGACTCGAACTTAAAAGCTCATGGAAAGATGAAACCTCTTTTTGTTTTTTTTATTATCAAGCCACCTAGTGGTGGTTACGAAGTTACACTACTTAAATAAAAGAAGATGGATATATACATTAATAGCAATTATAAAATTGTAAAAATACAAGGATCTGCTATGTTACCAGTCAATAAGTCATTGGATTGGAATCTTAAACAGTGTATATGGTTCCAACACAATTGAAACCCTACGTTAGCATATATTGACCAGAAGCGAACATAGAACCACACCGTTTTATTTCACTAACTCATAAAATAAACATAAGACTTGCATATTACATATGAATAGGAGTGTCAATCCATTTGAAGCTACCCTCAATAACAATAGCTTCAAATGAATATGGCATTTCATGGAACAAAAGATCCTTAAATATTCCAATTTTCGGGTCATAAGTGTTAAATTCTGATATTTAACTGGAAATGTAGCAGTTTGTTAAGCCCTTTTTGAATCTGTTCTGGCGCCAAAGTGTGTATTGCAATCTGCCGTCTGATTGTTTTGTGAGGCAGCCTTATTTGATTTATTTTGTAATGGTTTAGGTGTGTACTGCCAGGTAATATGGGATTTGTCCATACTGTTTGTTGTAGGTTGGCCTTAATATATGGCTTTAGATTAATATTGCATAAAATATCCCTGCAAAGTGGTTGTTAACAGTGGATATTTTGCTTTATTAGTTATGGTGTAAAAACTCAGTTGGTAATGCAAAAAAAAACTTTTCTCCATTTTTTTTCAGTTGTTCACTTTCTTTTCTTAGCATTCTCCGGCATTAGAAACAACAAAATGGTAGTAGAGCATGGTTACTTGAGTTGAAAAATCTGAAACTTTTCTTCCTCTCGATCAGCTTATCTATTTTTCTGGAAAAACTGTC